ATTATCTGTCTTTTGTTGGTTTTAACCATCTTGTCCAGCCTATTCGTTTTGTTTTACATTCAAACAAATTTGCACTTCTGAAGTCTCTAGGAACCAATAGTATGGGATCACTGTTTGGAATGGGATCAAGAATGTATTAGAGGGGCAACAGGGATTGACAGGCCCCACTCCTGTTGGGAGGGATTTCCTAGATTTTAGTAGAATTTCTTTCGATTAATTTGTGATTGTTCCACTAGAGGGCAGTTAAAGAGCAGACTTGAAGTAGAATGCAGACCATTCCTTTTTCTAAAGAGCTGGATAGCTCTTCATCTCAAGTTGAAGGTGGACAATATCTATGGTTAGATTTACTTACATCTTGGCTCCCTGTGTGTGCATAGATAATGGTGCTAGAAAGGTAGTCTTTAGAGCCGCAAATTCTGGCTTATGAAGGTGCGATAGATAGTAATTTCTAACTGAGGCTCTAGCACGTGAGCTGATAAAAATTCTTAATTCTTCCTATATTTGTATTACTTTTTATCACTGTTTCATCAAGTAGCTCCCCAGTCACATTTTATCACATTGTTCTCTATTTTCTTTCTAGCATTTACTACTGTATAAATTACCTTATTTTTGTTTTTGTTTATAATCTATCTCCCCTACCCCCCATTCAGAGCTGTATCTGTAGCTTAGCACAGTGAATGTCTGGAACATGGTAGGCATACAGTAAATATTGGAAGGAAGGAATGTTTGCCAGGAGTAGCAGTAACTTTTCAGGTATATTGTGTGTTTTTGTTTCACTTTTGATCTCTGAGAAAACTGACTCTACCCAAACCAGTTTTTTCTGGCCTCCTTTCCTCAACTTAGGTCCTGACTGTTGGAAAGTATGAAGGTAAATGCTTTTCTGAGTCTCTTTCTTCTCCCCCACCCTAGCTTGCCAGCAAAGCACGGACAGAGAAGGAGGAGAAGCTGAGCCAGGCCTATGCAATCAGCGCTGGTGTCTCCCTAGAGGGCCAGCAGCTCTTCCAGACCATTCACAAGACGTGAGTTGGGGGATTATAGGGGGCACCTTGTCCTGGGGGTGATACTGCCTGGCTGTGCTCTCTGGTGGCCGACTCTTGGGTAGTCGTGTTCCTGAAAGTCACCAGGGAAGCTGGGTAGTGTGTTGGCAGTATCTCGGCATCTAGCAATGCAGGTGCTTGTTGCCTTTCCATATAGAAGAATGGTGTAAACGTGGACACGTCTTTTCTGGGCTTCAGTTTCTCAGTTTCTTCATCTATAAGACTTAGTTTTGGATTAGGTTATCCCTAAGGATCCCTTCCAGACCTAGTATTCCATAATTTAGAACTAGTGATTTCTTTGTCTTTTGTTATTTTGATCTTGTACCTTTCTCTAAAAGCTTAGGCAGTTTTCTTAAATGAAAGTTATATCTATTCAGTCTTCCCAGTTGTAAATTGGGATAAACATAGGGAGTTAGGGAGAGCAGAAGGCCACCTTATTACCACCTCTTAAAAGACGTTTTGTCACGCCAGAAGTCATTTGACTCTCCACTAGCTCCTAGTTGCTGAAAAACTGAAACATTTGACAGTCCTTCCCCTCCTCCCCCTTGCCTTCTGTTACCCTATTTAACCACCTGGGTCTGGTGCACAGATGGCAGCTGGCATCAGAGCTGTTAAGAGGCCTTGATGTGAGTATCTGAGCATTTACAGGTATGTGAAGGAACTCTCTTAGTATTAGTTGCCTTGGGTTTTCCCAAGTGTGAACTGGAATGGGTTTTCCCAGTTTGGCAAGTGGGAAACTGTCTGATAATTGAGAGGGGCCAGTTTGAGGAACAGCTTCCGTTTCAGGTGGTGGAAAGAGTACAGATCACAGTATGATGCGGAATTTATTCTCCTCTCTTTCTAAAGGTGCCAGTTTCCCCCTAAGCCAAAGGTTGGCAAACTACCACCATTGGACCAATTCAGCTTAGTTTGTATATTATTTGTGGCTGCTTTTGTGCTACAGCAGCAGAGTTCCATGGTTGTGACAGAGATTGAATGGCCTGTAAGTTTAAAACATTTGCTGTCTGACCTTTATATAAAAAGTTTGCCAACCTCTGCCCGGGGCTGCTACTTAAGTTGAAGCTAGTGGTCTCAACCTAGCTGTTTTTTTGTAACTCAGTTTGGTTTGGACTTCTGAGGCTGGCACCAAGTTTTCTGTGGTTTTCCAGGTCCCTAATGCTTCAGAGAAACTCTTCTGGGCCCTCCTCAGAGTAAATGTTCATCAGTTTTATTGCTTTTTATAGCCAGTGGTGCCCAGGAAATGTTTCTTGGCTGCTACTCTCTCTGGGCTGCTGGCAGCTAGTTGTTGCCTGAGTGGGAGCTGGGAGCTTGGGGTCAGCAAGAGGTGTGGGATGCCCACAAGAGGTAACTTTTACCTACTGTCTTCTCCTTCCAGCATTAAAGACTGTAAATGGCAAGAAAAAAACATTGTAGTCATGGAAGAAGTTGTTATTACACCCCCATATCAAGTGGAAAACTGTAAAGGCAAAGAGGGGAGTGCACTGAGCCATGTACGCAAAATAGTAAGTAAAGGAGCCGTGAAACTTTAGGGGAGAGGGCGATTCCTCGGCCTTCACGCTCCAGCATCAGGGCAGGACAGTGAGCTGCAATCCCTGTCTCTTCTGACACAGCCAATCTGCTTCCCTGCAATGTGGTGCTCTGCAGCTGTGGCGGGGACACTCGTGCGGAGGTGGAACCACTGGGTAGTGTGGAATAAAGCGAGTGGTCAGCTGCAGTGCGGTCTTTTTGGAATTAGCAAGACCATTCTGTGGTTTTGGACTTGAAAAGTTCCTTTCATCCCAGGTCGGATTCTTCTCAGGAAGGGTTGATTAGTATAAATTAGTTATCACTGGTGCCTCTGACCCTGCATGTCATCTGACTTTTTAGGTTGCGTTGCAGCATTTATAAACAAACAGTACTGAAAGATCAACATTGTGGATGTAAAAAGTTTAAGACTATATAATTCCCTACCAGCTTTCCATTCTGTACTTGTGTGAAGAGGGGTCATAATAATCTCTTGAATTTCTGTTTTAGTTTATAGAGTTATCTTATTTTAGCCAGTCTTAGCTGAAGCTGCAAAAAATGTGGCTGAAATAAGAGGCCCCCAACCTGCCTTGTTGGAAAAGCCAACAGACAGCAAGGGCAAAGGCGCCTGAATAGTCTGTGGGCTGGTTGGCAGGATGGGGCTATCTAAGCCTGGAGTGGACTGTTTGAGAGACCTTGAGTGCCCATCTCCTTTTCTGACCTAGGCTGACTGGTCTCTTTCAGGTTGAAAAACATTTTAGAGACGTGGAAAGCCAAAAGATACTGCAGCGTTCACAAGCCCAGCAACCACAGAAGGAGGCTGCCCTGTCATCCTGAGTCCACACACACGGAGGACTCTTCCAGCATCCAGCCAAGAGGCGATGGTGGTGGCTTCAGCGGAGGCAGGCCGGGGGAGGGAAGGGATCCTATATTTTCTGTTGGCTCTTGTTAACAAAGGGTCAGCATTTCCAAATCTTAGACTTGAACAAACAAAACACCCAACAAAAAGAACAAGAGAATAATTTAAAAGTTGAATCGTTACTTGACTAACAGACTTTGGTCCACCATGTCCTTTTCACAGCCCCCTTCTGGAACAGTCAGTCACCTTGTTAATTTTATTTTCGAAAATTTCTGTCTCTACCCTTCCACCTCTGACTTTTCTTTCCTAGTCTGTCCCTGCCATTCTGTTTTTATAAGTGGCTACACTTGCCTTCTGAATGATTGAAAGAAACTTTTACATCTTCTCTTCCAAAATAAAAGTAACAAGCTGACTGTGATACTTAAGTTGAGACTAGAGCAGCAGACAGAGGTCTCACTTTAAATTTTTCTCTTTTTTTTTCTTTTTTTCTTTTTTTGCACAGGGCATGGCTTGAATTAGTTTTATTTTTCTTAACTTTAAATATATATATGAAAATATATATTAAAATGTTCTCTAAATATTTTCTGCCTTGCAGGTC